TATCTTCCTAGAAAAGCTGGCTCGGCATGGCTTGGATGGGCATACGCTTCACTGGGTAAACACTGGCTGGATGTCTAGGCCCATACAGTTGTGGTGAATGGATTTAAATCCAGCTGGCTGCCAGTCACAAGTGGCATTCCCCAGGGCTCAGTACTGGGGCCACTTCCATGTAACATCTTTATCAGTGACACAGATGAGGGGATTGAGTGCTCCCTCAGCAAGTTTGCAGATGACACCAAGTTGGGCGGGAGTGTTGAGCTGCCTGAGCGTAGACAGGCTCTACAAAGGGACCTGAAGGCCAATGGCATCGTGGCCTGCATCAGGAATAGTGTGGCCAACAGGAGCAGGGAAGTGGTCCTTGCCCTGCACTCAGCACTGGTGAGACCACACCTTGAATACTGTGTTCAGTTTTGGGCCTCTCACTACAGAAAGGACATTTAGATGCTGGAGCATGTCCAGAGAAAGGCAACAAAGCTGGTGAAGGGTATGGAGCACAAGTCTTATGAGGAGCAGCTGAGGGAGCTGGGGTTGTGTAGTCTGGAGAAAAGGAGACTGAAGGGAGACCTTATCGCTTTCTACAACTTCCTGAAAGGAGGTTGTAGCGAGGAGGGGGTCGGTGTCTTCTTCCTTGTAGCTAGTATAGAATAAGGTGTAATGGTCTCAAGTTGTGCTAGAGGAGGTTTATGTTGGATATTAGGAGGAATTTCTTTACTCTGAGGGTTTTCAAGCACTGGAACAGGCTGGGCCGGGGGGGGGGGGGGGGAACACCCCCCTGGAGGTGTTTAAAAGATGAGTACGTGTCATGCTTAGGGAAGTGGTTTAGTAGTGGATTTAGGACTTGATGATCTTAAAGATCTTTTCCAACCAAAACCATTCTACGATTCTATTCTATAAAACTAAAGCAACAGAAAAAAAAAAGAAAAATCCTGTAACAGAAAGAAAGGAATTATTCTAACATCTAGGTAACCTAGATTAGCAAGTACAAATTTTGTGATCAATGCATGAGTCTTTTGACATTTCCTCAAGAAGAATGATTTTCAATCACCTGACACATGAATTATATGCATCCTAATACATGCTAAATCTGACCTAACTGAAATTGTTTCCAAGGCACAGCAGGAGAATCACAACAGGAAGTCATCCTGAAAAATGCACATCAATAAAACTCAGATTGCATTTCATTTCAAGATCATGTAAACATTAAACCTGGAGCACAAGCCACTACAAAACTAAGTAACTGAAAGGCACTCCACAGGTGAAACCCCAGGTAATACTGAAAGAAACAGGAAACAACACAGTTTTAAGATGTAAATGGCTTGTAAAAGGCAACACTACTCTGCTGAGGTTTGCTGCCAGTGAAACAGTAGAGTGTAATGCTCAAAATACTCACTAAAAAGCATTCCTTGTAATCCAGCTAACAGTATTGACTGTACAGAGGAGTTCTTAATGTGAGGAAATAAAACAATTGCAATGCCATTAAATCCTTATTTACTACCCCAGTCAACAGACATATTATTTCAATGAATTACGACAGTGTGCATACCACAAAAAGAATACTGCAAAAATTAAAATTATGGTTTATGTACATATAACATTTTTTTTAAGCAGTATTCCTAATTTACTTATTAGCTTTTAAATATCTGAAAGATTAATTAGACAATATTTAACAATTTATAATGAACATAAAACTAAAAATAAACTAAATAAACTAAAATCAGTACATGTCTCCTGTAGATTTTCCCTTGATGGAGCAGCCACAGAGGCAAGAAATTCATCCACCTGCTTCAGAGACAAGGAGTTGTGTAGAGTTTCCAAAGGGCAAATAGAAGGCACCATGGAATATAGTTCAAAACCTGAAAGAAAAATAAGAAAAAAAAGATTTCCAAACATAAGACAGGATGTAAGCTATTGCATGTGCCAGTATTAATGCATGATAGAAAGTACTTATTTTAAATCAGCACATGCAGACGTAGTACCCTTGAAAACGCAGACACTGAGTATTTTAAGATTTGGAATAAGATGTGCCACATTCCAGGTTGTACTAAACTAAAGGTTACATGAGATTTGTATCCCATGACATGTTCACATAAAGTGGTCTTCAAATATTACAACTGTGCTCTACTCCCAGATGAGTTCATGAAAGACAACTTTCCTCTATGACAAACTTAGTAAATCACTAAAAAAACAGTCAGGAAATGGTAGTTTTCCTATTCATTCTCATACTTGGCACAACACTAACTAGGTAACTCATTCATGCAAGTAGAATAGGATAACTATGTTGTCAACTATTAGCAGATGACCTAAAAATGCTAAAATTTCCAAGAAATAAATTTGCAGGATTCATATTCTATAATTTTCAGTATTCTATGAAAACAAACTCTTGCCATAAATACCAGAGGAAAACCACTGTTAGCACATTTGTACCTTGAGGTTACATGTTTTAACTTTATAAGACAGATTTACACCTACCTTTATGCATTTAAAAACAGTACTTAATAGACTAGAAGTTTTATATATTAGAACAGTTAAGCACAGCAACCTAAAATCTAAAAATCTATTGGACACTGCTTTTCTACATTAGTATTGATCATACACCAACCATGCATATCTGTAATACTAACATACTAAAAAGCATTTAAACATCTTGACAAAAAAGTTTGCAGTTCTCTAAAGTGATGCAAGTTTGATAACTCAATGAACAGCTCTTCATCCAATTGCATTTCAGAAGAGAAAAATATGTCCAATTAGTGTTGTCAACATACAGCTGTAACATTACAACTTTGCAGATTAATATTGTAAATTTACAGTTGCTACATTTCTTTTAAGATATTTAAATGAAGAAACAATAGTGAATGAAATAATGTTTAGAATTTCAGTTCAAGGTACATTTATTAGAGATAGTATTATGACTGTGAACTGTTCCCTCCTCTAAAATAATACATATCAATATTCCTGTAATATCTGGTGTTCCCCATTCACTCTCCATTTAGTGATTTGCATAGAGAAGTAACTCAACAAAATTTCAACCCCTATTTGGGGGTCTGTATTTATATTTGGATCCATCTTGGCCATAGTCAAATCTGAGGGACAGTCACTTCAAATATACAACCAACTGAAGTGTACTTATGTTAGCTTCCCTTATATTACATATAAAATGTTGCATTTCAAGGAAAATTGGTTTTCATATACAAAAGAAACACTACCAATAGAAATACTTAATTTCTATTTTGTTATAAATGCAGTAGCTAAGCTTCAGTGTAAGCACTGAGATGTTTGGCATACATATTAATATACTAAATAATTATGCATGCATGCAAAGCGCAAACCCTTTCTTTGAATTACAGCAAAATGTAAGGTTTATCTTTTTACCCTGACAGAAAAGTCACTATCACATGACTAACAATTTAATTTTTTAGTTTTGCAAAGAACTTAGTGGGACAATGTCAGGTTTTTAATAACTATCACTGTTGTAATACGGTGTTACAGAAAACCAGAAAGGAATTTCAAAATATACCCATACCCTTTGAAAAAAAAGTTTTCTTCTTTCAGGAGTTCTCTCCATTGGTTTCTGTTCAGTTTTGACAATTCTGCTATCACATAGCCATATCCCTGCATGTTGTCATACTTTGCATCTAAGGGATATGACTTAAAAGATACCCTGGAAATCTATCTGCAGTGTTTAATTTTATTTTTTATAATATTTTATGAAGTTATGAGAAATAAATTTGAATTTTAATGATGAAGAAGCCTGACAGTATCCCTTTAAAAAAGCAATTTCCTGTAAACTAACAGCCTTTCAGGTTTGGCTATATTTATTCTTAAAGCACTGTCCCCATCAAAAGGCAAGACAATGAAAGGGTTAACGCATTTCAAAAAGCCACCCTGCTGTCTTACATTTAAAAGCTAGAGAGACATACCACTGGAGCCTAGAAATTCCACAGAGGAAATGGACCAGCACCTAAAAAGGTGTGGGTGTTCTGCACAGAGGCCCAGAAAATAAGGTAAAGCACTGTCAGAAGATACTTGTTTCACCATGTTCCTTGAACTAAAGATGGGGAGGGTAGTCTGAAATGAGTTAAGAGGGTGTCATAACAACATAAAAAAAAAAAAACAACAACAAAAAAAAAACAGAGTGAAAGGAACAAGGAGAATCAAAATGATAGTCCAGTGGACAGACAAAACAACATCAGTATGTTCTTATGTTATTAGAGAACCCTCAGAAACCTTCAATATACTTAGGTTTCATAGGAGCTCATACAGCTTGCAATTGTCTTGTAAAAGATGTGTGGCAAAATTGATGTATTAAATTAATCTGTACAATCAATGCATTCAATTAAAAGCAATTTAGGTCCTTTTTGAAATAATGTAGTTACAAAAAGGTAGTGCTAAATGGAACAGAAAGCAGTGACATTATTAGACACTGATACTCAAATGCAGTTTCTGACATTGTATGTTTTAGAAATACTTAGTTGGAGTCTAAAGATAAAAAACAGACTTTTAACTTTCCTATTTGAAACAGGACACTAGAAATGGTACTTTAGATCAAACTCAGTCTTAATGTCATTAATTCAGCCTTACTATAGTAGTTTCCCTTCAAGAAACACTGCAGTGCAAAGTCACTGTGGATTCCAAATGAATATAATAGAACACTGCTTTGCTTCTCAGCAAAGCCAGATAAAAACAGTCTTTTATTTTTACCCTAGTTTCTAAGCAAATATGTTTTGAATCCTAACACAAAAATGCTGACGATTTCTACTGCAGTTTCAATACTATCACCATCACTGTACTCAGACAGTGGTCATGCACATTTTAAAACCACAATTAAGAAATCTAGAAAAGCTACATTAAGATCCAGTGGATGCTGAAGACTGAGTCTGGTTTTTATGAACAGGATACATTTTGGACCTATTTAAACATGTAGAAAGGTAGGCATGAGGAGGCATTTTTCTGAGGAAGAGAAAGACATAGCACTGTCCTGTGTGTTAAACCAGATTTTTTTTGTAACTATGGTAGACTGAAGACAAGTTTACTCTCACTCTTGAAGCTCAAGAGGTTGACGTAAGCAAGAGACAGCTCTCTTGCTGTGATTTTTAGTGCAATACTTAAGTAATTTGCACATCTGATGAACAGAGAAGTATGGTAAGGTA